ACAAAAGTCTAAAACTTTAAAATGCAAGATGGTTTCTCTATTCCGTTGAAAATGCTATCAGGATTCTTCGAAGATTATCAAAAAATTGTATTAAATATGAAGCAAGAGTTAGTTTTAATACGAGCGTGTATCGATTTAGATGCGGTCCTTTTTTTAGACAACAATGAACCAAAACCAATAACTCCCGAAACACCTAAAGTTTCACTGAGAAAGATATGTTGGAAAATCCCAAAAATAATGACAAATATTGCCGAAGAACTTACTCTAACGAAAATCATGTCTAACAAAGGGTTAACAGATCATGGGAAATTATTGATAATTCATCTCTGCCTGAAACCACAACTCACACGTGGCCTGTAAAAACAACAAATGAATTAGAGACTCCGAAAATAGGAAAGATCAAGTAGTATATGAGTCAATTTGATGACGCCGATTTAACTAATATAAAAGTATTTTTAAATTCGGAACGATATCCGTACCATGATGTAAAACTAAACTTTAAAGAAAACAAGTATTCGACCCTGAATGATATGTTTGCTACTTTTAGGAACTGTTATTACGAAACGTCGCACGAGCCAAAAGAAAAATGTCTCATTACACATATGGAATGTTCTCATCAAATCATCAAACAAACTGGTTCTATGGTAATGAGAATTGAATTTGATACTAATGCTAAAAAAGGATACATCGGTATACTGTCTCATTTTACATGGTAAAGTATTTAGTTACAATCCGCTCACTAAAATAGTAAATCGTAACAACGGTTTTAAAAAACCAGATTCGCAATAACGAGCAAAGCAGTACATTTTTGTCAGTTGTTATAATGCGGATAGTGGCGTTAGATATACAAGAGTTTAATCGAAAGGAAGAGGAAGGTATGTCGCTAAAGCAATTGCAATTTACTGCTACATAATGAAGCCGAGAGCTTTTTTAACGTCGACTCACGCTGATAAGCGCAGGGTATGTTGTCACTATGGATAAGAAGCGGATTAAAAAATGATGAATATGGTGATATTTTTGAGCATCGAATTGGCAAGCATCGTTGTCGTATATTTCCATTGGGTCCTCCATTTTTTGTTTTTTTTTGGGAGGAATGTTTCTTCCACCGGCCACGACGACGAAGATAGCTCTACTCGTTTTCTATTTGATTGCACCACGGCCGTCATTACTTCCGGTCCGCTGCCTCCTTCATTCACAGGAAGGTAGAAATTAACATCCGCAAACTCGCGGATGCCCTGGAGTTGCATCTCATCTTCGTTGTTGGCCGTTACTCTAAGGTACCGGACCGTGAGTGCCTTAACTTTTCGATCCACCGTTTCATTTTTCGGCGAGTACGAAAGGTTAATCTCTACCCGACCATCGCTTTGAAATTTTACGTCTCTCCTTCCGTACCTGAAAGTTAGCATTTAAATATTTCTTCTCACCAAAAAGAGAAAGTTCTATACAAACACATTGTTAAAAATATATAATAAAAATAAAGACTTAATTAGATAAGTTTTTCAGAAAAACCACCAGCATTTGATCAGGTAACCTGCTTTTGTCGGTGGACTCGAAAATAAAGGTCGATGGCTAAATCTTTTCACTCTGAATGATTGTTTTACGAAAGGTATTCGGAATTAATACAAATAGAAATTTTTACAAATAACCAGACTTTTTAATTATGAGATACTGCTATGGCGATAAAAGCGCAACAAAGTATGTTTAAATTGCTATTAGTATTATCTGCAAAAGTTTAAGTTAAAGTCTACATTCTGTTTTATTTGTGCAACCATTTTTCTTCCATATCTCAACTCAGCGAGTTAAATGAAAAAACGCTACTGAAATTGAGAGAAGTTGAGAGAGTAAATTAAAAGTAAAAATAATTGTTGTAGTCGGTTTTATCATTTCACAAAACTTCACCATGTCTCAAATCAGCGAGTTAAGTGAAAACACGCTACTGAAAATTAGGGAAGTTGGTGAATTAAAAGTTGAAATAATTATTGTAAGCCGGTTTTAGCATTTTATAAACTTCAAAAACATTTTTGTACAATTTTCACTATAATTAATTGTATTATACCAAAATTTGACTAGGAAAATTCTTCTGTATTTATTAGGCTGACATTTATCTTCCCAGAAGGGCATTTTTTTTGGATATTCGTTGGTATTGTGTTTTATTTCGGCGACCTAGTAATCGCACTCCGCGAGAAAAAAACGAACCGCGATGTGTGCTTTATTTAAACGCTAGGCACGTTTAGCGCGACATTAGGCGAGGCGAAAGAACGCGCATAACCCACGTAGGGGCCTCCGGTTTCATCCCTCCAGTTTATTTCTCTAACGAACATTTTTTTTCTGCAGATCCCTATCTAGTTACCGAAGGGGCGATTAATGACGCTACCTCGCAAGCAAAATATGAATTTTTAAGGCGCTGACATCGCTCGTCCACCAGCCAAACTAAAATCGATTTTTTTTTTTTTGGTTTGGCAAAGAAGGAATCTGAGGGTCAGATCTTGAGATATCAAATCTCCACCGGCGAACGACTGATGCAGCGGTCAGAAAAAGGCACTACTGACTGAAAATGGTTGATGCAGGTTTTATAAAAGAAAATTCTTCACTCGCTTCACTACCACTACTACTACGAGCTTCACTAAGTGTTACCAAAAAGTCACTGTCAACATCATTTTCAATGAAACGATTTTCACTACTTTTTACACTAAAGAGACTGTCGTACATATTTTTTAGACGATTAGTTTCTTGTTTTTTCGTGATTTACGTTGCACCGCTCTGCCTCTAAACATTACAGACCGGTGCGCTTGTATGGAACATCCTTTTTTTAACGAAAATTTTTTGTGGTCAAGTATCAACACATCGCCTTGTCAGTCGGAGGTCGCTTTGAGCACTGACACTAGTTTTTATTTGTATTTCTGATAATGTTGTAGTACAACAGGAAGCTACTGCTTCATCAACAAATCTTCTATTTGCCTTTTTAACAGCTGCTTGTCTTGGAGGAACTGAAAATATTCTTTTCCTGTTTGGCTGGCAATTATAAATGTGAGGAACTACCAGAGACTTGATTATTTTTTTACCCCCATTAGTTCCAACTTTACATAATTATCCATATTTTCCGCAATCTGAAACAAAAAAAAAACATACATAATCAAACATTTATTAAGTATAAAGACTTGAGTACATAACTAATACTAAAACCTATATCCAAATAAAACTGGTATCTAGATATATTTTATATTTAGGAAAGTTTATATGTAATAGAAAGTATATTGTATGCTTTACTGGTAAAGGAACAAGTTTACCTAACCCTAATTATTTATATTTAGGTATTTATGCTTATAATATTGTAACGATCTTCACAATGTTTGTGCTCTTTGTAAAATAGACCTCTCTTCTGCATGCTTTTAGCCAGTTTATTCGTCGCTTTTTATCTGCGATATCCGAATGAAAATTTTTGTCTGGAATTTTCTCAATTGAACTCCGATAAAAAGGAACGATACAGTATTTATAACGAGTAGTTTCCATAATAAATAAGACAGAATAAACATTTAACACTTAAAACCGAGACTAAAGATGCAAATTTGGTAAGAAATCAATTACAAATGCTTGACACGGCTGTTATACTCGTAACGTGCCGCGTATTTTCATGCGGTGTGATGTCACACCTGCTACTACGCATTTTGCTTTGTTTCGAATATGACCGGCGGCGGTTCCAAATTTAATTATCTATTGTAAAATATGTATTGCGATTTAAGGGTTTGTAATTGGTATAATGTGTTTTCATATACCGGGTGACACAACTTTTAAACGGCTTGAGATAGCTATTTGACAATATGTAGTCAATGGTTGCCGTTCCCTTCTTGAGTCTTTATTTTTAATTTTTAGATTCAGTAAATCATTCTACGTAGAATAGGATGGTTTTTCTTTGTTTTTTGTTTTTTTAATGTTTTATTTAATTTTTAAAAATTGTGTCTAGGAGGCTGTAACCATCATAAATACTATTTACCGGTTCACCTGATCATGGAAAAAAATGTAAATGAAACTTTTCTTTACTTGTCTAACGGCAAACAGCATTTAATGTAATGAAATATAATTTTTTTAGGATAACCTAGTCTTTTCAAATAACACCCTAGTGGGAACAAAAACTTTTTAAAACCGTTACTTTTTTTGCAACATTTTGACACCAAACTTTTCAAAATCCGTTAAAAAAATAAGCTTACAGGAAGGAAAAAACCTATTTATTATTAATTGCCAACTCGGTAAGATTAAAAATGCAGAAGAAACTGGCGACAAGTTCATACAGCGGAAAGAAAAAACAGATTAGTATTTTAAAAAAATAAAATTCAAGAGAGAGTTTTTTCTGAGATTAAACGATTAGAATTTTATGTTGAAAGTGTTTTATTATGGTAAAAAGTTGATATGCTTTTGGAATACGGGAATACAGTCAAAAACTAAAGGAAGTATTGTATGTATACGTGTGTTACTGTAAGACAAGTTTTACATTAAGACAAAACATCACATTCGTTTATTTTGGAACTGGAGTTTTCTATTTATTTGAATTAAATATGTGCGACAGATATTTACTTAATAACCAATTTATTTTAATATCAAACTTTCAGAATGTTTTCAAAATGTCCTCCTTCTTGCATAGGATACCCCTGGCTCTAGAAATTACATTTGCGGTAACCCTTCCTAACATTTCTGAAGTTATACTATCAAATGCAGCCGCTATTCTCCGCTGTAATTCTTGTAGGTCGAACGCTGGAGTTACATAAACATAGTTTTTCACGTACCCCCAAACAAAACAAATATAACGGTGTCAAGTCTGGTAACTGTGGGGGCCAATTGAGTGAACCGTGTGTTGAGATTAGTCTATTCCATGGGCAAGTTCCATATCAAGGCAGATAAATTGCAACGGACAGATGCTTTCTAACAAATGGACATGATCATACTTTCTATAATAAACACAGCATGGTATGCCTCGCAAACAAAGTGAGTCGTAACTATAACACGTGCCATGACAAAAACGAGTACGGTACTGCTGTCCGAGCTGCCGCTGGTTCCAACCCAGGTTCCAATCTCCGCGGCTGTGCGAGAACCGCGGTTCTTCGAGCAGTACCATTCGTGAAAGTGAACGGATCGGAGTGAGGCGGGCGCGCGCGTCAACTTTGCTCACGGAGATGACGTCCACATCTTCAACGCTCGACGGTTTACCTAAACAGTTCGTAGCGGCCATGCGCACGCTATTCGACATCATGGACGATAAACGGACCGGGTTCGTAAACTTCGCGGACATCGAGGCCAGATGGCAAGACGACGGCTCCAAAGGTTTACCCAAAGGCGTGCTCGACAGTCTTCGCAAAGTGACCCCGTCGAACGGGATGTTGAGCTTCGAGCGTTTCTGTGCGGGCCTAAAAATATGCCTGCTTAGGAACCAAGTCGAACGGAGGAACGAGACGAACCTGAAACCGCCCGATTTGGCGAAGAATAACCCCAACAACAGGCCGCCTTCGGCACCTCTGCTGGACGTGGTGGACAAAACGCAACCGACGAAACCTTCGTGGGGCTCCGCGGCCAACAATACGGTAGCGATCAGACCAATTAGCGTGATTTCTTCTCAACAACGGACGATCAGCATGCCGCAACTGAAAGATGCCACGCAAAACGAGCAAGCATTTGAAAGCAAACCCGTTCCGAATATAAACAAAACCACGCTGTATGGCCCGCCGAAACCCCCGCGCACCGCTATCGGTATGGAACGTAACACGGTAACTGCTGCCCCAGGCAACCTAGACAGGGCCGAGATACGGACGGCTCTCGCCAACTGGCAAATGGGGCTGATGACCAATCAGGATTCGAACAAGGCGGAAAAAAGGGTCGTGTCTACGAACAACGTTCCTCAGGTATGTTCGTTTCCCGTATATATATTTTTTAAAAATATTCAAAAAGGATCGGTATACGAAACGTAATATAAATTTGACCAAGGTTTGTGCATATTGTTTTGTTTCTTTCGCTGATCGAATGAGACTACCTAAATTAAAAAAAAAGTGGATCTGTGTACCCCTCTATCAGAAATTATGTAAATAATTACCAAGTATCACTTACATGGACACCGATTTCCATTACCCAGCTAGCACGATGACGTTAATTTGACGTGATAAATTGAACATGCATTTCGATTTGACCGCGACAATGACGTGATTTTAAGACGTATTCCGACTTCATTGCGCCGCATATTGTGAAGTCACTTTAATTTAATGACGTCAGAAGACGTACAAACATATACAAAACAATCCCCAACGTTTTTTCTTCTCCATTCTGTAACATACCTAATCACAGATCAATCTAGCGCGCGGAAAGTGTCATTTTACGAGGTCAGTTGCTTTCCCACGAATCTGTTTCACTTCGGACATTTTCGGGATATTACCGCACGGCTTGAATTTTGACATTTGTCAATTCTGACAGTGAATGGGTTCATGATTTGCAAAAATGTACCAAAAAATTAACACTCAGAAAAATTATAGTATGCAACCCGTTTGGTAAACTTATTAAGTCACTCGTTTAGTAAGCAGTCGCTCCGCTCGTGACAAATAAACTAGTAACCCAAATGCCGTTTCCCACACTTGTTACGTATTATACAATTTTTTTACTCCCTTCTGTAAAATGTCTAATGATACACCGACCTAGGGTGCGGGAAGCGTCGCTATACCACGTTAGTTTCGTGTCCCACGGATGTGAGCCACTTCGAACATCTCCGGGATATTGCCGCACGCGATTGGAAGCAATCGGATATTTTCGTTTGTTAGTTCTGACGGCCATGTTACAAAAATGTACTTAAAAACTAACCGTCATAGAAAAAGTACAGTATGCAACACGTTTGGTAATTTTTTAGTTTACTCGTTTATTAGCTCGTAACTCAAATGCCGCTTGCTACACTTCTTACATAATATACATAAATATAATATTAAAATTTAATTTTCGAAATTGCTATACGTAAAAATAAAACATAATTTCAGAAAACAAATAGTGCTGTACCTATTATTCACATACTAGGTATAAAAAGTCTCTCATGTTTTATATATTTGATTGTAACAATACGCAACTCACATTTATAGAGTAATGAAAATGAAATAAATGCAAGTCATAACTAAAATTTATCCTCAAATTCAAAATCTAACAAATTTGATTTTATGGGATAATTAAACAAAGGTTCATACGAAATATATTCGAGCGGCCTTTAATTTTGTTAATATAATTTGCTTGAAACAAACTGTATACAGTTAAATATGACAATTATTTATATATTTTTTTGGTTTTTGGTTTCAACTACAACCGCTTAAATTATTATAGTTATTTTTAAGTCATATGACTTCGGCGACCTATAATCGCTAAAAACTTAAGTTAAATTTACGTGAGCCTGCTACCTGGGTAATTACAGCTGCCGTGCTTATTTCTTGGATCTATTAAATAAATTACCGACAAGTAAGTACAGACAAATAACAAAAATAATAAAAAGAGAAAAAATAATAACAAAATCAAACACATCAAAAATATATATGCTCAAAACCAAAGTCTTCATTCTTTCAATATCCCACTTCTGCAAAATAAAAATAATACAGGGCGACCGAATCGTGTGTCCAAGTAATATATCTCGTTTATTATTTGTTATAGAGAAAAAAACAGTTTAAAATTATTTTCAAATATAATATGGTGATTCATACATATGTGGCAAACCAAACTTATATTTTATTTTCTTTTATTTTGAATGCTAGTATCTCAAAGAGTTATACTTAATTCGTCTCTGTAGATGTTTCACGTTCAGATAATATTTATTTTGTTATTAATCTTTTGTGATATTTTTGCACGGTTTGAATATTTTAAGTATTTCGTTCCTAAATCTGTGTATACCTCAAATAATACTAAGTTTAAGCTTAGGAAATGCTTAATAAAATTGGAAGAGCATTAATTAATTAATGGAAGTGTAATACACAAGATATTTCATTTGATTTTTTCAGGAAAATTTATAATTTTCATTTTGACTCATGACCATAAAGCCGAAAACACTCAGTATAGATCAAAGCAGCCCTACATTAGATGATTGAGTATAAAAGGGAGTATCCAATGCATGTTCTATTTAAAGAAATATAAGTTTCGTTTTCTGCATATCTATGAATCACTCTGTATCTGAAAATAATTTTAAATTGTTTCTTTTAGTCTTATCTACAACATTTGAATGTAATATTTTTTTGTAAAACAAATAATAACACACTACACACTATTTGGCCATCCTGCATGTAGATTCTGGAGAATATTCGGGATATGGTAAAATGCATATTTTATAACACCCAATCTAAAAAACCAAAAAAAACAAACAATATAAATAAATATTTGGTAAAATTGGGACAGCCAAAGTCAAACTCATCCCAAAATGGTATTGGAGGATGTGGCAAAACTATTCCATCTCCATATCACTTGACAGGGCTAGATGATAGATGTCGGATACGGGAAACTGAAAGGAGAATCTTTTTTAAAAGTTGGGTACTTAGATATGCGAGTTGCGTTGCCGCTTCTAACAATAACAATATCTTAAATAGCATACTCTTTATTTTATTAAACTTTTACATTAACTGCTTCTTTCCTGCAATACAAAACCCGCGTCTTTAAGGTTTTACGTTGCCTATTCTTGGTAGCAGACTTTTTCGGAGGTAGGTGCGATCGCGGCTCATACCTCAAAAACGCAAAAATGCGGGACCTCCTTAATCGCACGAGTTTTTTCTGGTTGCCCGACCGAAAATTCTCACTCACTTCACCTTCAGCAGGCACATAAAAAAATAATAACAACTAAGCAATAGTAACCAAAAAAAAAATGAGAAATCATTTATTTTCACATCTACATACTAAGTTCACCAGGTCAGATGCTTCTAACTTCTTCAATCACTCGTTTATTAAACACTCGCTCCGTTCGTGCCAACTCAAATTTCTAGCTAAAGCGATGTTTATCAAGTAGAATTAAAATTTAATTAAAACGTTCAAAAATGTGTTTCCAGTTTTTCGTTTTCTTGTCGTAAAGTTCATTTACAGTGTCTTTCAGACTTATTCTGGCGGTCTGCTTCGGCCTAGTCGCAGTTTGGGAGACGGCAAAGCGGCGGTACAAGATGTCGCGGTACAGGGGCTGTACCAGAAGAAATCTAACGCGAGAAGACGCGAACCGAGAAGACACACGTTGCAAAATGGCATCGACTACAATATGCTCAAGAGGATGAAACAAATAGAACAAGAAAAAGAGGTACTGATGTCTGGACTGGCCGCCGTAGAAAAAGCACGAGATTGGTACTTGAAACAAGTCACCGTAGTACAGGAAAAAATGAAATACCTGGGAAGAATGGGACACGTGGTACGTTAACTTTTTATTTCAATTAATTTCGAATCCAGTCTTGCTCTTTACGATAGTACCGTAGAGGCGATTTGAAAAATAAAGTGCTGGAAAAACTCCCAGAATGAATGTCCCATGCGTAGGCTTTTGTAATATTACACACATTACTAACGAGATTGCCTGGCGATTATAAAATCTTGCTTTATAAAGGAATTTCGTAAGAAGGTCAGTAGGTAAATCACACGGGAAAGTCTTTATTTGTGTCATAGCGAACGCATGACTTCGGGTTCTTCTTTTCGAAGCTTTCGTTCGCATTCGCATTTTTCGCGTACGATTCTATTTATTTTTTGTATAATTTTTTAATACGTATTAATTAATGTATTCTTGTTTAAAACTGCAGTTCCCTTGGGTAAAAATATTAGCATTTGACCAATTAAAGTTTAGCTCAAAAGTTACCAAAACTAGCCAAGATACAGAGTGTTCAAGTGGAAATTAATGTTCAATTTTATTCTTTTTGATTCAATATTTTTGCATAAAATTTTAGATGTTATTTAATTAATTTTTAGTTATAAATTCTGTTTGTGTGTATATTTACCCATTTACAGCCCTTAACACATTTAAATTTTCAAAAGATTAATTTTTCATCGGTTTTGTTTATATCGGTTTTAGATGCTCACCATGATGGCTGAAGAGTAAATTATAGTAAGGTTTAATAAGATTATGTAGGCAACAACCTCAATTAGAAAATTATATTTCATGACAACACATTAATATAATATTTTAATATATTAATTATATTTCAGCCTCGTTCTTTAAGATTACACATAACGTAGTTCTATGACCTCTAGCCGATGACGCCACGAATTCAAAACCTGAAAACAAAAAATATTCCCCGCCCGGTCCCTCTTCACCGCTGACCGTTATCGATATCATAATTCATGATTGTGCTTCGTGGGGCTGACACTACACGTGTTGTTAGAGAGAGTGTTTTTTTTTCTTAAATGTATATACCGCAAAATTTTCTAAAACGATTTAAACAAATTGACGAATTAGAAGAAAGATGTAATAATTGTTTTATCGGCAATTTTAGGTATCGAAGATCAGTCGTTCTGTAACCACCTGGGACAGGTTTTTTGTTACAGAAGTGAAGGGTTTCGTTTCTGGAGTCTACTTTAAAAAGTAGAACAATGACAAATTTGAGAACAGAAACCGCATTTTGGGTTGTTGATCGTTTGTTAGCCCTTTTCTTAAGTGGGGACGGAACGTACAAAGTCTTGTCTTTCGGTTAAAGGCGAGAGACAAAAAAGTGTTGAAGATGAAGTGCAAAAAAAAAATTTAAATGGCGGAGAGACATATCTTATGAAAAATAAGAAAAGATCAGGGAAAGCATCGTTAAAAAATTGAATAAATAAAATAAAATAAAAATATGATAAATAAATAAAATCTGGTTTCAGATTTCTCTGATCCGGAAGACTGTTTGTCTTGCCAACCTTGGTTACAGGGTTTTCACAGACAAATGAAGAGGAGGTGTAACAGCGTCTAGGTGATGATCCAAACAAACCGATAGATAATCAGTTATATTTGCACCCTGAGTTAGTATCTAGATGGAATACTTGGTTAGCTCAGGGGATTTGGCCAGAGGTGAAAAGTACCTTGTTAGAAAAATACACGTTACAGGGAATTGCAATTTAAGAGTCCAGCCAAGGTAAATCCAGATAATACCTCGTTAAGTGACAGGGCTAGGAAACGTGATAATCACTTTATAGACCCTCGGAGATTGCATGGAATAACAATTGCTTCGTTAGACTTGGCGATCCCTGAACTGTTAGAAAACAACGAGGAGCGAGTAGATAGATTGGACATTTTGAAAAAATTATGTAATGTTGGAAAAGTTGTTGGCTCGTAACGCGTATATTAAAAGGGTCTTAGATTCAAATGAAATTGAACCCATTTGTTTGGTGAGAATCTAACTCAAAAGCAAAGGCAATCCGAAAAACAAGTTTGGAATTAAAACCCAGTTTGACGGTAAAAATTGGCATCACTCAAGTTATAAGATCACGTTTGCTAGGAAAGCGGAACAAAGTTTTGTTTCGAAAGAGCGACAGTGGTGTAGCCAACGATATCCGGATATAATATTAGCATTGAATAATTTGTTGGTTATCTGGACTATACAACCTTGTAAATTTGATGAAGGTCAGTTAATTGCATCTTATTTTTTAGTTCCAAAACTAGATGGTACAAGAGGTTTTATATTAAATAGGTTTATGGGTACAGTCCATTTTAAGATGGAAGATATCCGAACAATTACAAAATTATTACCGCAGGGTGATTTTTTCAGATCAGTCGATCTTCATGATACCATTTGGTTTATCTATTAGTCCATATGTGTTTACAAAATTTTTAAAATCTGTAACAAACCACTTAAGAGGAGAGGGTAAATTTCAGCTGTATGTTTAGATGACACTTTGTTTTGGGACATCATATAAAAATTGTTTATATAACACACATGCAACGGTAGCCATCGTTACTTATTTAGGTTTCCTTATAAATGATAGAAACAGTTCTGTACCTGTACCTTTTTAAAAACAAGTAAATTACTAGCTATGTTGGTATGGTTTTCTGGTAGACGATGTTGTAGAATTAGAGAGTTTGCGAAGGAAGAAAGACAGTTCTATATAAATTAACTGGAGCTGATGGCAGCGTTCATTGCTGTAAAGTCCTTTGCAAAAGACTTAGAAAACTGCGAAATCTTAATTAGATCAGATAATACTACAACAATAAATAGAATGGGGGGTGTTGAGTTTCCTCTTTAAAATGGGCAAACCAGGTCAATTGGCAATGGTGTGAACTTCGCAACATATGGGTATTTGCATCATGCATCCCATCCAGGGATAATTCGATGCAGATGAACAGTCTAGAAACAGATAAATAAATACAGAATGACAATTAGCAAATTGGACTTTCACGAAAATAGTTAAAAAATTTGGTGAACTCCAGATTTATTGTTTTGTGAAGTGAACAAAAAATGCAAAGTGTTTTGAAGAAAATAATATTGGAAAAACCGGAGGGAATTTTACTTGTCCCTGGTTGGTATCTTGGATTTCTTTCTCTGCTTTTAGAGGATCCGGTTATTTTTAAACCTGATGTAGATTTACTTCTCTCTCCTTGCAGAACAGTATACCATCCATTGGCAGCTAAACTTGAGTTGATAGCAGGACGTGTATCAGGTCATATTATGCTATTTTGTTTATCGTCTATCTCTAACGCCATACCTAAGCAATATGATTTAGCTCTAAATCTAGTGGTTTTTAATGATGTGTTAAATTTTCTCACTCAGAAGTTTAATGGGGGTGTTTCTTATGGAACTTTGAACACCATTAGTTTAAAGATTTCTTTAATTTCTTATAAAACCGATACATGCAAAGGTCAGATAGTAACAAAATATTTAGGGAAAGACCTTAAGGCGCAAATATGAGAAAATATGAGATGTCTCACTTGTTTTAAATTTCATCAAGACATTTTCCGATTGAGCCTTTGTCGTTACAGAAACTGACTGAGAAGGTGTTGATTTTGTTGACTCTCGTAAATGCACATAGGGCACAGACGTTTACCATTATAGATATTGATAATGCAAAAATAAAATTCAAGAACAAAATTAGGATACCTGATATTAGTAAGGCATCTGCACCTGGTAAATTTCAACCCCTCCTAGTATTACCGGTTTTTGAGGAAAAAGCAGAACTGTGTGTAACAAGTACTTCTGTACAATATTTGGAACGGACCAAGCTTTTAAGGGGTAATGTGAAAAACTTGTTTGTTTCGTTTTAAGAAACCGCTACAGACTATTAGTAGGTGAATTAAGTTTATAATTGCTTCGAGTGTGGTAGATACTTCGCATTTTACAGTCTATAGTGTAAGGCAAGCTTTTTGAAGGGCATGTCACTACATAGTATTCGGTCTACCGCTAAGTCCTCTTCTTCAGTTTTTTAAAAAATTTTATAACAAACACATTTCGGAAGAAAAATAAAAAGAATAGAAGTCTGGAAGAAGAATTGTTATTTAATTTATTAAGTATTCAATTATAATGTCGATAGATAGAATTTGCTTGTTGTTGGCAATGTTTTAGGTCGAATAAAAACGAACTTACCTAAGTGAAGTTCGATCATAATTGTATGAAGCCTCTTTCGAAAGATTAAATCCAGCCCTTAAAAGAACCCTTACCCAACAGCATTTTTATTAGATTTAAATGTTATGAATTATGATATCGATAGCGGCCGGCGGTGAAGAGAGACCGGGCGGGGAATAATTTTTGTTTTCAGGCTTTGAATTCGTGGCGTCATCAGCTAGAGGTCATAGTACTACGTTATGTGTAATCTTTCGAACGAGGCTTCATATAATTATGATCGAACTTCACTTAGGTAAGTTCGTTTGATCATTTAATAATTGATGATATTTGCATAATAAAAATTACAATTTTATGAAAAATATTACAGAAAATGTAACAGGACCAAATTATCAAAAACCCAAAAGATAACATTTTTATCGCGAAAACAAAATTTAAAGAAAGCAATTGAAACGGATATAGGGTAGCAAAAAAAAGTTATTTCTGTTCATAAGATTCTGACAATGATGGCGATCCTGAAAAGATAAACTGAATTCATATTTTATATGCCATTTGATTTATTTTTCTCGATTTTTCCTTGTAACTCAGGTTCTGTTCAAAATGTTATTTTACCATTTTTCAACTCTTAAAAGAGTATGGTAGTAATATGCAATAGGCATCTTTTGGAACAAGGTATATATCAGATCAAAAAGTTATGGGACTCTATTTTATTTTTTTCAACGGAACAGTTAAATTCATTTTTAAATTTATAGGTAAGATGTAGCTTATAACATTCTTCATATTCTAATTTTTTAGATAGAAAGACCTAAAGAAAGGTGTTTTTAAGTTAACTTATATTACAGGAAGTACAATAATTAATGGTACGCACTAAAACGGCAAACTCCTTGGTTAAAACAATATTAGCATTTTTTGGTAGAGGGGTTGAGTTGGGTTATTTGACACAGTTAACCTTGTAACCGAGTAAGGCTATCGGCTGTGTCTCTCATGCACTTTTAACTGCCAAAATGAAAAGCTTATTGAGTCGTATTTATCATGTAGAAAACAGTGTGTTGAGTACCAAGGTGAAGTATCAGCTTTAAAAAGTCTACGATTTGGAGTTCCTCAGTGCTCCGTTTTGGGGCCATTACTAGTCATTCGATTCTTCCATTTAAATGCATATTGTACTGCGATGATGCCACCGACATAAGCTTTGGGAAAAACTTTAAGGAATTAAGTGTGAATAGGGCTACTCTTGAATATTTAACAAACAATTGGTTCGAAAATAACGTCTTAAAACTGAACCTTGACGAGACCCAGCACTTGACGATTTCAACTAATAAAGCTGGTAGTTCAGGTAAACTACTTGGTGTTGTTATGGATGACGGACTAAATTGGTCGAAATATATTGGTGAATTGAAAGAAAAACATTGCAATGCTGTCCGTTCTGAGACGACTAAGAGGATAAGTTCCTAATTATAGTATGTCATTGCATTCTCATTTAAGTTATGGAGCGGTGCTGTGGGGTAGTTCTTCGTCTTCGTGTGTAATTTTTAAATTGCAAAAACAAGCAATAAGAACAATTGCTACAATTGGCGATCGCGATCATTGTCAGCCATGATTTATAAGACTACTTATTATCCCATTACCATGTGTTTGGTTGTATCAACAGCTGATTGATATCATAGCAGATTTGGGCATAATTTATTAAAACTTTGACTATCGACAATAGTCTTGATTTTGACTTGTATAATCTTGTGAGTGTCAACATAAGATTCTTAAATGACACATCTTTTATAAATAAAGTTAAAGATTACCTACTATTTCACTGTTCCTATTTTATCGTGAAAGTGAAAACTAACACAGATCTTTTCATAGTTTAACACTTAGTTTATTTCAATACTGTAATGTCCACTCCCAGATTTGTTTTTATTCTGATTGTTTGTTTTTTGTGATATTTTTGTTTTGAAATCTTGACTTCCTACAATTACTCTTTGTAAAACGTAGTCAAAAAGATACTAAACTAAACTAGTAAATGTACAAAATTTAAAGGCTTTTTTTTCGCTATTTACAAATCTTCAGGATTCCTCCTGCGGCGGTTGTGTATAAATCAAACTTACTAACCTTTCGCCAACCATCATTTTGACTTCTTCAGAAGAAACGTTAGCAAGTTTGACGCAGGAGAAATCCAGAAAATTTGTAAATAGCTTTAAGGCAATCGTTTTAAAAAAATCGATAATTTGGTCCCTTAAGCCCCTTAGTTGGTTAAAAACGTTATCACCAATACGTTTGTAACTGTTTACTTTAGATACTCTACATAACTAATTTATTAATAGGAAACTTGGTCGGAGGCCCAACAAGAAAGGCTGGATCTTCAGAGAGCGCGGGTGCTCGAAGTCAATCGGCACCTATCGGCGTTAACTGAAAGCTGGGAGCGGGGTGGTCTGCCACTTCATATGAACTTGGCCGTCCACCATTATCCGCCATCGCATCATGATCCAAGCGATCGACTCAAACAACAGAATAGGTTATTAACCGAGGTGATAATCATCGTTTTATTTAATTTCATTTCCTGTTTAATTGAAATTCACAAGAGAGGACTTATCCGATGATTGGCGTTGGGTGTCCTCTTGATCCGAAAACTAAAAAGCGGACATTTTAAGAATGTATCCATTGAAATGAACAAAAAATGCAAATATACTTTTTTGTTGTATGAAAAATACAGCCAGAACTATTTCTTTACAATTAAACTCGTTCTTTAGAAATCCTATAATTTTTACCCTTGCCACAGAACTACATGAATAGGGATAAATGAAACAAAAAAAATCATAATAAAAGTTTTTTATGGCAATTACAAAATATTATTTTCCATTATAAAAAAATTACAATAAAATTAATAATTCAACAATACTATTCTTTGCAGTTATAAAAACAGTTGGTAATTACATGTTTTTCAAAATTTCACAAAAGAAAATCGAATGCCTTACATAAGTCCTCATTGAACTGGACGTGTTTGCTGTTTTTTGGTTTTTGTTGAAGAAAATGTTGTATTGTTTGCTGCAGTTTTCGCTCTATGAGCTGGTGTTTTGACATGCTGATTCGCAATACATTTTTTATATGCATGAATCTTTAAAACCAAAAAAGCAATAAATGGACCTTAGTTTTCAACATTTTAACAAACACTGAACACACAGATACACAATTCGCTTTACATAACAAGGCACACAAGAACTAAAAATTTCCACCTCTTTGAACCATCTATGAATCTATTTATATATATTATGCAGTAAAGTACCTGAGTCGCCTCATTGTAAGGGCCACACAGGGGCTTTATTTGGTAGTAGAATGCAATTTATTCTCCACTACTGGAAAAAATGCATATTTTGTATAGAACAGACAAAAAATGAAAAAAATGCAATAAAACGCATTTTGCATTTTCTTCGCTTCTTGGTCATCACTGTATTTCAAAAACATTTTCGCATCTTTTGTCACTACGTAAATAAAATCTTAAATACAAAAGCGATAATCCCAAATTAAAATAAACGCACCTTCAAGAATTCTTGAACAGTGATTATCCTTTCAATTTCTGTTTTGATATAATTTTTAGTATGTATTCTAGTTCTTTTAGTTTAAGCCTTATATGGAGCACTTGAAAAGATGTCATTTCGATAATGCCTTTCTGTCTCACCACAGCTACACTAGCGAGTCTAAGTCAAAACTTAGGTCCATACTGTCTGGACGAATCTGATTTTTTTATATTAAAAAAAGATACAGGGTAGAATCTAACATTTTTATCCTTATATGACTAGAAAGAATATCATTCTAATATCACTAATAAATGAATGACTGTTGCATTTTACACTTTTTCTGCAACCGTTAATTTTTGGTTACATTTTAGCCATTGCGATCGATAAAACGGTAAGAGAGGGTGTATTAAAAGAATGAAGTTATCTACCCTAAATATCGCAGAACAGTTGATAGGTGCTCTCGCTTTTCTACTTTATTAAATTGTTTACCAGTTGGTTTTGGTTAATGATCTCGGGGTATTGTTGATCACCGGGCATTTATCAACTTGAAATTTCGAGAATGTGGCAAACAATAAAATTTTTACAATTTTATTTCTGGCTCTCTTGATTACGTTTATATTTAAAATGTCGTTGCGGCACCACCTGAAACCTCCAGTTTTTCAATAGAATCAGCGGTGAAAATCAGGCTCATTTACAAAATACATTTGGTTTAATAACTGTTCTATAATATTCTTAAAGCAAAATTTTTACATGTAAATTTTGTATTCCGTGCATGTTTAATTTTATGTAAAAAAATAGGTGTCATAAAATCTCTAAGAAAAATATGTCTCCTTAAACTTCCTGAAAAATTGTAGTTTACACTGACCTGGTGCCGAAGCTCAATTCAATTTAAAAAATTGTGTCAGCGTCGCAATTTGAAAATAACCTAAAAAAGTAGGAAACTTTTCGTTTATCACATGTCTATAAATTTAACCATAGCATAGTTAAAAGTTTTAATTGTCTAGGCCTTTTAACAGGACACTTACCATAGATCACCCTATACTTGACGTCAAATTGATAATTTTTGCAGGAGGTTACCAAGAAAAACGACAGAATATCGAACCTGGAACGTGAAAAGGCGAGTTTGATACAACTTTTGCAGATGAGAACATCAAATAGAAACAATGTTCAAGAGGAGGCCGTTTTTTAAGTTAATGCGTATTTTATTGGTTTTTGTCAATCAGAGTTTGATGAATTCCAAGATTTGATTTGATCAAATACACATAAACTTACGAAACCACCAACCGTTTAATGTAAACACCCAATTGTGCACCTTGCTTATGCCAGCAAACTAGTTTTCTTAAAAAACTAAATTTGCTGGGGCAAACATAATGTCGATTATCTACCAATTGAATTTTGTTACCTGCTTTTAAATCAAATTAGAAACGAAGTAATCTTTTTACTATTTTTATTTAATAATTTGTACACGTTTGTGAATATAGATGTATCTGTACATAACAAATTAATTTAATACAGTGTTCAATGCGTAAACGAATAAAACATGGAAAAATTATTTATTTCCCTGTAAATAGCACTAAATTTTGAGTTTCATTGACTTCTAAGTAATTTTAAAAGTGAGATTATAAACAGAATTGTAGTCATATCTCTTGTTAAATGATGTTCGTGCCATATTCCTTTTTCTGAATAATTTGTGGGAAAATTATTTGTGTAAAAATTTGAAAACTGTATGAATGTATATAATAATCAAACTACCTGAAAGAAAACTGTAATTATTCAACACCAAACGCAAACACTCACTTCACCTTCCTTTAACAGAACCTTTTGTTTCCCAATTGATACCATCACATGGAAGTTCACTTTTTATCAATGGTGAAAGCCAAACTAAATACCACCTTTCTCCAAAAACTATTTTGAAATTTTCTATTTTTCCCTTGTCATATGGAGACATTTTTTCTTTCCTTTCGGGTGTAACCCGTCCTTTCAAAATCAGATTGAGGTGGTAAAAAAGAAGAGTACCTGTAAAGAATCCCCCAAGCATCACTACCAATATAAAGAAAACATACAGTTGAATTTCTGTAAACTCCAGAAATAGAGTTGCTAAAGGGAACACAATCTTTAGCACCGACAACCAGGAAACTACAACTATATAATCTTGAATAAAATACAAGTTATAGTAAGTTGCATATACAGTGGCCAAGAAAATATAAGACACAAATACCATAAAATAACGGTGGTTATAATGTCCAATACAGCAACTGGTAAACATGCAATGATGGTCTCGTTTTAGAATACATGTGTTGCATGTGTTGCAATGCCAAGACCGGGGCGGAGTTACTGTTTCACAAACGGAACAAAATTTCCATTTACGACCTCCATCAGAAGGTATTATTTTGTTTTTCAAGCTTGTGTCGCACAAAATGACTGCCATTAGGTTAGAACACACATTTAGGAGTATAAAATTTCCCATACAGAAGTGGAATGCGTACAGAAGGCTCCAGGTACTGTAGAATTTCGGTAAGACAACCCACAACTCGAAATAGTAAATTAGGGGAATGATAGTGAACATAAAAACTGTCACGCAAGCATCACCAAAATTCTTGGGATATATTCTAGTTCTTATTTGCATCCTGGTTCACCGTGCAGCACCCAAACTAACTCAATCACTGGAACGCCACTGATTAACAAGTTTCAGCGGAAGGCTGCCAAATTAAGTTGCGTCAATTTTTTTTCTCGTGATCCTGCCATTAGGCACAAAATCCAAACATTTTAAGCCAAGGTCATGAACAACAGCTGTTGCCACATACATACATTTTATCATCTGCATAATTTAATTTAAATATAAAAATTCCCAACTCCAGCGAAACCGTTTCGTACCGTAATATTACAGGTGACTTTCGGTATATACGGCTCGCAATCTGATTCGATGATTTAGAATAAATTCTTTATAAACTTCGATTTTCGTTTGCATTTGGCAGCAATGTTGGTTTCCTAACCTATAAACGGTACTGTCAAATTTTCCATAAGCAATCGAGGTTATTTTCAAGATCCTAAGTTATCAATTCTTACGTCATTGGCATTGGAACGTCCTGTGGTTTATAAAGCCTTGGACGTGATTGTCGCAAAAAGACGTTCAAAGTGTAAGTAATTTTTTTTAAGTTTTTTTTTGCGGTATGACTTCTATTGTAGGTTTAAAAGAAAACAATAATTTCATATTATTCTAACCTGAAATTGTGATGTAATCTTGAGCAATAAAACTAATTTGAATTGAATTTGCAAATTTTTAGGATCCAGTATGAGTGAGAATGTTTTATATCACCAAGAGACCCAGTCTGAAAAGTTGGCACGAAAAACCAAGGAGACACCATTTTTTCCAATAGGTAATGTGTACTTTTATATTTATGATTACTTGTAGCTAACAAAAGATTTGTTTCAGCTATTGGAATCTGTGCATTGGTGGTGGGTTATGGAGCTTACGCATTTAAAAACAAGGGGAAAATGAGCACCAGCGTGTACCTGATGCATCTCCGAGTTGGTGCCCAGGGAGCAGCCGTTGGATCGCTTACATTAGGTCTAATTTATACTATGATCAAAAACCAAATGGAAAGAAATGAATCTGCGGCAAAGAAATAATAAAGAATAAAACTATTTAAATTCAAGTTCTGTTAGTGCAAAGTATTACAAAATTATGTGCGGTTGAAATTTGTCACTATAGTTTCTTCCAGAAAAAGTTAAAATAATTTGGGTTTAGACAATTTTATTGATTGTGATATTTATTTATTAACAAGTTGTTAAATGACTGTGTTAGATGTACTTACTCTAACTAGTGGATACACTCAAATAAATCATTGTATTTATAACTTTTTAAAAAAATATATTTATTTTTCTGATTATTTAATTTTGTCACGTTTTTACCCAATATCGATAATTTTGTAATTTGCTATCATTTGCAAAATTTGTGGGGAACAACAATAATTATATTGTATATATTGTGATAAACTGGAGCCGTTTGATTTTCTACAAGTAATTTGGTTGACTTCCTGTGAAAAGTATGATAAATAAATAACGCAGGTATAGATAAAGAATAAAAGGATTTGCCAATCTATCATATCCTTAGCAGGCTGATTCTTGTGTTTCTTATCATGTGTATTGGTGTAGTGCCAACTATCTATTTTCTGTGTGAGATGGAAAGTAAGTATCAATTTCTTGTGGGAGTGAGCAAATTGGAAAGGGCTACTTATGTTGTCACTAATTTTTTGTACACATGTGTTTAGATTTTAGATTGTAACTCTAAGAGTGAAATTAATATAAGAAGAAATTAATTCAATATTTCCCGCGACAAAACTCAAAAATCCTAAATCCAAAAAAATAAATTTAAAAAAAGTTATTCTTTTGTCGTTTAGTGCTATATTGTCGTACCATTTTTTGTTTGTTTTTTTAGACTTTCTATGAAAATATTAAAGACGCTTTGAAGAAAATCGCTCAAACCACCTATCATTTTATCTGCATGTTGATTACTTTAGATTTTTAAAAATTCATATCAATTTAGGGTAGAAAAATCCATAATATATACTTTTGTTTGCAGGGAACTAACCTAAAGTGTATACGCAATACAATTTAGGAAAACGGGAAGTAAAAGTTACTGAAAATTTGGTCGTAGAGGTTTCTAACGTTTGCCCAACCTGTCTTACACAAAATTGTCAAAGTCTTTTTAATGAAAAATATCCTAACCTGAATGAACCTACAAAACGGTATAATTCTCTAAATAAAAGCAGCTTTCTAGCCAAATCTAATTATTTTCAAGTATTTGAAGTATAAGACTGTCATCAAAAATTAACCAGAGTTTTATTAACAAGATGAAGAAAATTTTTATTATTATTTTTTATGCGTTGTGTTGAGGAATTTAAATAATAGGTCATTGAGATCTCTTCTTTTAAAAATATATTGTTTTAATTATATGTTTTTGAACAACAAATAGTGCGGCCAAGTTCACTAAAGACGAGTGAAAGTTAGTTTGTGGTATGCTGTGCCTAGAGCACTTGCCCAGGAATCCAAAGAGAAGAGCAGACGAGACGCATGGTAATGAAAGGTCACTCACTTGTATTCACTTTGACTTTAAGAATAAAAGTTGTAAATGAACCCACTTAATAATTAAATAATAAATATTAAATAATTGAACAAGTAATAACGAGTATATCATTCTTGTAGTGTCGCATTATGGCAGAAGCCTGTGCAGGTGCCGTTACCAAGAAACTATTAAAAGCACATTGTTTTAGTAGTCTGTGGCGTGAGTCATACTTTGGCTGGCCACGCGTATGAAGACATAGTAAGGGAACACTACAAATGGTTGACTGTTTAGATGATTTTTAATGGTTAAATTTAGATGGCCGTATTTGTCCAGCGCAACAAAGCGTGTGACTAGTAATTTTAATAAATAAAGTAGTGACTGAAGAAACTTATCAATTTGTCTCATACAACACTACATTTTTTTAAAAAATACCGCGATGAAATTCTAGCTTTTCTGGCATATTAGTCACATAAATCACGAGTTCTTGTTCAAATGTTCATTTGTCCAAATCGTTCGGGGCAGCGCGGGAGGACGACATTAAAATGTTTTTAAGATACATCTGATAATATTTACAGTGTTTAAAAGATTGAATTGCATTTTAATTAATCAAAGAGCCAAAAAAATCATTGCGGTCATAGTAAATTGTATTTAGGTACCTTGTACTCGGAAAATTGCATACGGCAATTACCACGAATCATGAAAGGTTAATAAAAAACGTGTGGCCAATTGTTCCCACAGCTAAAATTATTGATGATTTTTAAATTTATTCAATAAGCAATATGATTTATCAATATCTTTATCCAATACTTCAGCTGCGACTATTTTGAGGATATGGTCGCCAAATGAAAAACTTTGGATTATGCAAGAAATTAACCAGCTACCTAGCATACTCAAGAAGCCAAAAGTTAAAGTTACCTGAGTAGTTATCAAGATAAAAAGTATGAAAAACTTGAAAATGCATTAAAATTTTAGTAAACAGCGCCCATGACCTAAAGGTCAAATTGTAAAATAAAAAACCCTTAGGTGCCAATGAAATAGTTACACACCTTCATTGACATATGTTTAATAGAAGTTGTAAGTTTTTTTTTAGCTTAAACAATAGCGTTAATTGTTGCTTTTTATATCATGTCCAATAAAGTCTACTTTATTTTGTTTGTAAGTACACTGTGTAGTGGAAACCACCTATATAGATAATTAACCAAAGAATAATAATTTAGCCGCACCGTATTTATATTTGTATGTGAACTTGTATCTTAACTCTCTATTTGGATAAATGTTTGGACCGCTTTCGGGTGTTTGTCGCCAGTGCCTCGGGTGATTTGGACAAATGCACATTATAGCATTTGTGGTTTTCCCATACGATTTGAACAAATGAATATTTGGAAAAATACGGCCACCTCTATTTAATGTACTGAGTTGGTCACAGCGCTTTCTAGAAGCTAACAGCGTGTTTGGAGAATCGATAATCCTGCACGTTAACGTTTGTAGTAGGGGGGTTATAGACAACACAATTGTTAGTTGGTTTAATCATAGTTCATCGTAGCATTTCTTCCTCTATGGTTGCATTGTTGCCAAATATTCCATTATCACTTCTAAGGTCGTGTTGCTTGTACATTCCGCTCACAAATTGTGAATATTATTTTTGGTCTTTAACATTTTCAAAAAAATTATAATGGCGTATGGACTGGTACCTGTAATTAATGTTGTTTATCTCGAATTTAATCGAATTTTAATGTTCCAGCAATGATGCTGGAGAATTCGTCCCTTGAAGGTCTTTGTTAGTTTTAAATTATTTTTAAAATAAAATTTTGTTCACATCGGTGCTTTGAGGGTTTTAATTTATAATTATTCTTTTAGGACACACGTATAGGTGCTGGTGATGATCCCTTCTAACAACTCAGTGGCTGGCGAGGAGGCGTCTACTTAAGAATTGTAAACTGTGTGTTTGCATAAAGAGGTCCGACTTAAACACCGAGTCGATCTGGAAGACTGTGAAGACAGATTATAGCATTCATACTACAGTGGATTGGGCTTCCTTTTGCGGCTACATTTTTCAAAGTAATATTGACCAAAATCTATAAATAATCTGAATAACGGTGGCACATCAAAAGTGGTGGAAATAAATGAATCATAATATTTCCATCGCAATTATCTTTGACGCCAGTAGACACAAGGCCATTGGGTTTTTGTGGGATATTTGTGGACATTATTCTATAGTTAATTGTAATAGTTTTTGTATTCACTTTAAGAAATTGATTTTCACTCATGTGCCACAATATCATTTCTGCTGATAGTCTGCTATACTTTTAATACCACTGTCGTAAGTGATGTGTTCATGATAATTTTAAAGCCCCAACAACTGATGTATCTAAAATAACCACATTATTTTGTTATATAATATTGCTATTGCTATTACATTGTTACAATAATTAAATAAAACACTACCACTACTAAACTCGCCGTTTTTTATCCTCTAAATTTTTGCTGCTTGCTAACATCTTTGAAAATTTTATTTCATTTTTGCCCCAGTATATTCAGTTCATGCCTTAAACTCAACAGTAAAATAGAAAAACTGGGGGGATGTGAATTTTATTACTGCATATTTTAAAATCGTTGATGGGGAAGATTTAGATAACCACAGATTGGTAATATTGTGCATCTACTAAATTCGTTAACTACAGGATTTCCAAATTGTGACTTAATATGCTTAATGTTTTTTTTAAATGTATATTCAACCTGACGGGATTAATGTGGGTAATGATCAGTAAGCAACGCCACTGTTACAGGTCGTTAAAGTAATACCAGGCTTGGTTATATATTTTTTTCAATTTATTTTTCCATAAAAGTGATTTACTCAAACACTTGATTGTAACAGAAGAAAACGCATTACAATTATGTCGAAACTTTGCAAATAAACATTATTATATAGAGTTTTTGAACTGGAGTGTCAACTTAACAAAAATAAAATTTTTAAAAACATCAAAGTATAAGTACAACAAAAAAAATGGCACTATAATGAACAGGCGATGTGTCCACAATATATAGCAAATACATCGAATCAATTTCTTTGACAATGAGTTGTTTAGATCGTCTATTGTCCCTTTTCGATTTTATAGCTGTTGCCAAATATCCCCACAAACAAAAGTCATCTTGACCCTTTTACTGTTGACGCATGCAAAAACTATTTACAATCGATTTTATGACGAACATATTTTCTTGGAACATCAACAGACAGGCGTCACAATGAGGAAAACAACAAAATCACAAAAATCTAGACGCTATTCCATATTGCACAGAAACCTATTTTACACAAGAATAATTAATTGTATAAACACGCAGTATATAAATTTCATTACAGTTAATATTTTATCGAAATGACACTAATTCTGAAGGTTTAGGGAACCGCAAAAGCCAGTCTTTATCACGAGAGTCTGGCCGACATGCTTTTGCGTTTATATTTTACTCTGCCATTGCCATAAATAATCAGATTTAACCTCTATAAATACAAGTGTAGAAAAACAATAAACATTCAATAAGTGTATAAAGGACTTTGTATGCATTACTTTAATAGGTGCCTTGCTCTAGTTTTAGTTGACTAGTTTTATTACCGAGTAACACACAAAAACTCCTTGCTTGATTCTTTTTATCATTATCATTGATAAAAAATTACGAAAAATGCACTGATATACAATATTATGTTAATAAGCTCTATAGTATTTCACAGAATTCCATTTCTTTTTGTAATTACATCCTTAACTACATATTTGAGTGATCATAAAGTCAATTTAATAATTTTAATAACTATAAACTAGAGAGCGATTAGTGAGGAAGGAAGTTGTGTTCTATTTTCAACAATTTAAGTATGTTATTGAAGGTGTAACAAGTGTTGGGCAAACCTTTTCGGTTTCAACTACAACTGATTGTTCGTTCCCAGTAAATCAATCGCGATAAATATGATTTTACTCCAATTAACTTTAGGCCGAAAACAATTTTTCCTAAAGCCAATTCACACACTATACGGCTCCCGTATATCGCTGGGATAGGAATCTCACACGCTACATTTAGCAGATAATTTTATTTTAAATTCGATAATGTTTGTTAAAGTCGACCTTAGCAATGTCAAGCTTTTCGTTAAATATCGTTGAACATTATATTACCAAAATAAATAAAGATAAAATGTTCGGAACTCTACAGGCAGATTTATTTATTTCATTGATTAAAATGTTTCATGAAGAAAACTGTAAAAGGACAATCGTTATTCTCTAAGTTTTTTAAAATCAAGAGAAATAAGTTTGACATTCTGTAGTACATTTTTTTAATATCACAAACTTAAATTGATCAAGGTGCCTTTTTTGTAACATTTGCAATGCCATGCCATCAACGACATGTATTGTAGTTAGCCTTTAGTATAGGCAGTTGTATTATTATTGTGGTTACAATATTCACTATAATTGGTTGTTTTCTGTAACTTAAGGAGAATACGATGCCCAGTGCTGATATTTTAAATTGTGCAGGTGTGCAGAAAATCGAAAAAATCCTAGACCCCGATACACCGAATCGGACATTTACAGCTACTCTATAAGAGTATATAATTGCGATTGGGTGAACAGAGTCGAGGCACATATGAAGATTTTTCATATCCAAAAACAAGTACAAAGCTTACTTATCACCCTAAAAACCTTAATAAATATAAGGCAGTACTGCATAATGTGTTTAACGTAGTTATACTTTAACCAAGTAACATAAGGATATATCGCTTCCAAAAGGAAAAAAAGCGGTGGTAATGTACAAATTGTTAAATATTGTAGCTAACGCTAAACTAACTTAACTAGTTGGACATGTTGCAATAAATTAGTTTCATTCTCTTTTGGCCAATTGTTTTATAAGGTTCTTATATAAGTTGACGTGGTCTGAAAATACTAACGTAACCATTGGCCAATCGCTTATTGTAGAAACTTCCGATGTATATCAGTTTAATGAATCCAAATAATTCTTTTATATTTTAATAATATATTTTTTAAAATTTAGATTTGTTACATTCATCGCTTCCTTGCTTCTTCTGTGAGAGAGATTTTTTAAAAACACCTTTTACAAAAATGTTTACCAATTTTACGTAATAAAAGTGGAATATCATTCTAAATTATAAGTACCATTTCATCAAAATGCCGGTATGAAATAACAACAAAAATTCTGTTGTGATAATATGTTGCGCTCAGTGAAGATTCATACCCATAAAAGTTCTGAATTCACTAGACCGAAAAAATACAAATTATATTGCGTGCCGTTGATTTTCATTTTTAATATTTCACTTTTTTGTTGATATCAATAAGTTTTGTTTATTAGTAACCTAAGTTTTTGTCAAATTTTATAATAATTTTATTAAATTTTATAATAATACAAAAATAAGTAATAACCAGTCCGTTTGCACCGCAAGCCTTCCTTTAGAGATTTTCCTCAATATGTATTAGTATTTTTTGAATAATCCTACCACTGATTTTTTTGTTCTTTCTGTTTTTTTTTTAATTAATGATTGAATGATTAGAAGGTTCCCAAAAAAATTATTTATTTTGTTGAATTTTTATGACAATTATCCCATATAAGATGTTTGTACTGGAAATGAATTTTATTAATACACTAGATGCCCTGCAATTAACGCTACTAGCCATAATATTTTTAAGTTTAAACACAGACAAAACAAAAAAAAAGACCATTTTCAAAATGACAAATCAATGACATAAGGAACGTAAAAATCATTTAGTGTAATTTAATAACATTTTAATAAAAACCTCGATATTTGATTGTAAAGAAATCTTCGTTTTTTTTGGTATTTGTTTTCGTATTTTTTATGTATTTTTTAGGTTACTCGTAATCATTAAAAATATTTTTTTAATCATTAAAAATAAAAGTTGGGACCTATGAGTTCAATGGTGGCAATAAATAAGCTATCAGACATGAGATAAAATACATTGAACCGAAAATATAGTTCGAATCCCAGAAAGTACATGTCAACTATTGGAAATGAATAAAACTAGAGTATAATTTTTGTACAACTTCTGGACGTCCAGTAGCTGATATCTTTTGGATATACTTTAAATATATATAATGATAATAATCAAGCAAACCATACCAAAAACTTAATTCAAGTATTCTAAGAACCTATTTTTGTTGGATTTGTAAAACAAAGTCAGACAGATATAGTCACAATCTATTACGTTATAGCTCATTTGAATTGATCGCTCTATATTTTAATTATAATTATACAGTACAGGTTCAGGTAATTCGTGATGGTACCGCCTAGAGTTAGTAAGCAGCGTTACTAACCAAAAACTAAAGTTCATATACTTTGGTTAAACCTTGACAGCCCAACCAAAAAATTCTCGCCCTGTCATCTTGTTCGCTTATTGTGTTATTATTAACGACTTGTAGTTAGTACAAGTACAGTGCAGTTCAAACATTTTAATATTTATCTTTTCAATATTTCATAAAAGACGCTTTATAGATTTTAAAAGAATGTATTGTATGTTGTAATGTATTGTATGTACGTTCCAAGAAAAATCCATACTTGCATTTCATTCATTATTAAAGTCTGCCTGGATTCCAAAATGACATGCGACTCCACCCCACTGGATAGCCCATTTGTTCAGAAAGGGCAATTCGTTGGATTTCCAATAGCTTCAAGCATACTATTTGGGATACTGTCACACCAAAGTGCCTATTTGAAATCGTCATATCGAAAATTGACAGGATCGCTTGGTTTTTGAAAGTAAATATCCACAGGGTGAAAGGTTGAATTGATCGCATAATAATAAGCGACCCCTTTTTGGTAAATCACACAATGGGGAAAGTTCTCACAATGAACACCTCCAGGAAGTTAAATGTTAACTAAAATTAAAAGGTTTGTCTTTGTGGATATATTGATTAAAAAATCTCACTTTCGTCCAAATTTTGGTGCAATTGGATAAATTTATATAAAACAAACTCTAACCAATCGAGTTAAGCAACTGTTTAAGGCACCATCAACCCAATGAAAAATAATCTATGTAGGTGTTCATTATTTTAGAAATAATTTTTTTTAAAGGGTAGTACACCATCATCAGAACTGGCCACAACTAAAACATGTCAACGTAATTATTTATATCACCAACCTTAGCTATAACAGAGAGACTAGTACAGTTAAAGAAGGTCTTTTACCCCATTTAAAGCAACTCTGTGCTTTAACGCAACTCTTTGCTTTAAATGGCATTTACAAAGAACCTCCAGCTAATTCGACAAGTGTGTAAGGTTACACAGACATCATCATCCATAAATAGTACGTGTGTAAGATAACGTAAAAGCAAAAATACAAAATCGAAAATTATGAATGTCACACATCACAAAGAGACTTTTTCACAGTAAACGAAGTTTTTTTTCCAGTAGGTTTCTCTAGACGCGGTCCGGTCGAAGACCACAGATCTACGGCTCTAGGCAGTTCTATTTGTGTGAACTAAATCCGAACGCGGCGCCTCCGTTACCGCCGCTGCGGTGGAAGTGGACGTTTTGCCACTTGTTGTCTCGCTTATGCCACACCCTGCTCTCTGCCGACTGATGGGTGTGTGCCTGGCCGTGCCTTAATTGCAAAAAATAGAATTACTGTCCTCCTTCTTAAAATTTTGATCATATAAAAACGTTAAAATTTCTTTTTTTTTTTTAATTTCCACTAATAAGTTAATAGAAAAATCAGTATGATATTATAGTAGGTACCCATAAGTATACTCCATTGTTACCATAATCATAAATAACGATTTCAAAACGGACAAATAAAATTTCTGTGTTAGTTTACAACATAAACTAGATAAAGATGTTATGTTATGAACCTTGATTTATGGAAACTTTTCTCATACAATATTCTGAGGAATCATCCTATATCATTCCACTATCATTCATCATTATATGAAAAAAGTGACGTGAACTGAGCTTTAGAAGAAAAAACTATTTTTTTATCATCATTATCAAACCAGTCTAGATGTTTCACTGTCATTCGCTACACTGCTTTCAAGCAACAAAAAACATTTTTATGGAAACTATTTTCATAAAAATTTACTAGTCGCGTTCGTGGTAGATTTGTATGGAGTATTTTTAAAGAAAAAAGTGTCAGGTTACTACCTTTTCCGAACATAAAAAATATTTTTGAAATTTGAAAGATAATATGCCATAAAATTTGGTGCATTTTTTGAAACACCCTGTATATTTGGGGTTGATTTTTTTATAGAAGGCGATTGCTTATTTACCGATATGTGAAACATCACTATTCTTATTTCTTGGCAGTTTATGCCAGTTAGCTTAGTTATTCGTTGTTTTAATCAAAAAGATTATCTCCTGTATAAGTGTATAAACAACGCTTCTCTACTTCAAACGGCACAAATACATTAATATATTGTACATTTATGAGGACGACAATAAAAAAAAGAGAAAATGTAAATGTTATAATCCAAATGTAAATGTATAGTTTACAGCACAAAAAAAAGTAAAAACATAAGGCATAAATTATTTCTTTAGTATCTGTCACGAGTAGTAGTATTTTTGAATAAGGAATTCCTTCACATTTACTTTAAACTGAGAAAGCATGAGGTTCAAATTTAACGGCTTAACATTTTATTAAAACATTTAATAGCTATATAATTCGTCGGCTTTCCTTACTTACAAATAATCTTGAGAATAGTGAATGATTGAACAGGTTTGTGTTATTTTGTTTTACATGTCCCAGTACGAGTCCGAAGTATAAAAAAAATTCGCTTGAGACCGTTTCCATCAAATTTCTTATTACAAAACAATTTAGAAGTTGCGAAACTAATGTGATTTTTCCAAGTTAGTTTTTGATCCAGTATTATTTCTAAGAAACTAGTACATTATACATTTGCAGTAGACCTTCCTCTCCTGGACACAACCGGACGAGTTTCTTGGATATTCTTGTTTTCACATGATGGCATTTAATGCCAGCCAGCCCATCGTCATCATAGCATTCTCTTATTTTGTTATATGCAACACTCATATAAAACTACCATTAAAGCAGATCTCTTTTGAGCTATAAAAAATCAACCTCAAATTTAAATAAATCGGTAGCCACAGTGCAAACGACACTTTTGTTATACAAGGTGTTATTGAAATTACGTAATATATTCCAAATAGTGAATTTGGAGCCCATTCTGATACCGAATGCATGTTTTGTTCGGTCCTAGTCGGATAAGAAAAGGCTATTTTTTTTATTATTATCCCGGAAGGAATAATAATAATAAAAAAAAAATATGCTGTTCTTTAGTTCTATTTCTGACCTTAGCAATATTATATTTTTTAATGATAACTTTTTGTGTAATCAGTTTTCCCCTGATAATCACAGGGTTATGGTCTGAACCAATGTCAGCTCCAGGATATGCTTCTATCGCAGTCCGCCCCTACTTTAGCGTTAAAATCACCAATGATTATTCTTCGGGTGTGCACTGGGTTTCGAAGGGCTGTCTAGTTTATTTACCGATGTATGTGCAATATTTCCTTTCAGCAGAAGTTAAAAAGAATAAATCTCACTCGTTGCTTTTAATAAATTCTGTTATTACCACAATGCAATTCGTACAAAATCGGACATTTCAAAATGGGACCTATACTCTTCGAGCACTTAACCTTTAAGTAAGAAACCAGATGTTTTGAAATTGAAAATGCAGGACTGGCTTCGACGAAATGTGAATTGATGTTGATGCGTAGAAAGCAGCGCCCTCAATCTTAGTTATGCCTCTCATTTAGACTTCGTAGTACTTCGCGGATTTGTTTATAGAACTGCTTAACTACTTCATTTGATTTATCGGCGGCAGAGGTGTAAACCTGAAGAATGTTAATGTTTATGGACCATTTTGTTCATGTATTTGGTTAGTGATTAGTGAAAGGGCTACACATAATGGGGCTACACTTGCATGATCGGGAGTTAGACCACCTGGATTAACTGATACCCATTATATCTGCTCGGAGAATTTTTGATTTTCCTGACATAATAAAGTGGGTTTGTGAGTATAAGATTGTTAGGTAGTTGAAGTTAGAATTACTTTCCTCAATTCTAGTTTTTTTTTGGTTATACCGCCGATATTCGGTCGGCATAAGAAATTGAGAAGAGAATGTAAATTATTATTAGGAATAAGGTAGATATCACATGGATCCCCCGTCGGTATTGGAGGAGAAGCTAAGGCCCATGTGGGTAGCTGCCCTGTAGTAAACGTATCCTTCACAATTTGTTGCTTAGTAATATATTGGATTATTTCTTAGGGGTTGAATTTATATTAGTATGTACCTTGATTTGTATCAAAAATCAATAGGAAAGAGTTTGTCGTGTTAGCAGACAGAGTAATAATCATGCTTAATTATATTTGCTGCCTGCTTTCATATTTGGACGCATTACAGGAACGCTGGCCAAATTGTGTTAACACTACGAATGGAACAAATTATTTGTTGAGGTTTGAATGTAGCTGATTAGCGCTGGTCTTGCAAAAAATTAATCACGGATCTTTTACAGCGAGAAGCATTTTATCCGAAATTTTTGGAGAAATTTTTCGGAACACCAGGCTGCAACCGTTATAACAACTATTTTTGCCATTTGATATCATTTCAATAACACCCTGTATAAGATTCACTGGACAGTGTATTTTTTGCGATGTGTGACAAACCTAACTAACATGACTAACCCAAATTAATCAAAACTCCGTCAGCGGTTACTGGGTAAGTATACTCACTTGTCCATATACTGAGTTAACCCCACGTAAGCGATACAGGCAGCGTCTTCTCCCAACAAATGTACGTGCGGATTTAGTATTGTTGTATTCACCGCTTTGCAATTTTTGCCCAAGACTAAAACAAAGGTAATTAGGTCTTCGCGGTGCATTTACGAAGAAGTCTTACCGTTGTCGAAGTAGAATTTGTGAAAGTCCATACCCTCGACTAGATTTCCCATCGCTTCCGGCTCGAAGGCTGTTAGATGAGGATCGCATATCTTCCTAAAAATGGTTTGATAAAACTTCACAGGTAACACTCTTTAGAGATGGCATTTGTATCACGTGTAGACTAATTGCAGTTCTAATACTAGGTTTACACTGACAATAAATTAATCAACTTGATGAAGTTTTTGTCTAAATATAAACTGAGAAATAGTCATGTTTAACTGTTTTGATGTTTTAGAATTCCATTTATTCACAATAATTTTCAGTTAATTGAAATGTTAAAGCCTTACTCGTTTGTAAAGAAAAATATGATTATACAGGAATAAGAAACAGAAAAGAAAACATATGGGTCAGTCCTCAGGTAGATATTAACAATAAAGCGGGGTGAAATTTTCTTCTCTGATCACTTTAAATCGTTTTTGAGGATGGTAATAGAAAGTTTTGATAAAATATTGAGTCGTGTAAGCCCCAGATAAAAAAAATGAACGCAGTGGAAATTTGTCACGTGTACAAATGATTTTATTCGAAGATTTACTTGGGTATATTATTAACATTTTCATATTCCACCCATGTCTTTTTGTAGTATAAATAGAATATGATAAATTTAATATTTACAATTAACAATAACCTTAAATTAACTTCCACTTTTCACTTGTCGCTTCATTGGTGAATACTCTGGCCGAATATTATTCACCCATAGATATTATGCATCAAATAGATTGACCACTCGATATTTTCGGTGACCAAGAGGAATTAAAATAGTAGACGTGACATGTATACCCCTCTAACTTTTCACCTTATATACAATAGTATCCAAAAAAAGTATCAGATAAAAAGATATTTTTTTCTTATGGAAAGCCCTGTTTATTGTACCTTAATGTCAGAGCTCTTTAAACAAGGGTTTTAAAAATATTATGGTTATTTTTTACATTTTCAAGTTTTAATATTACTAGGATCGTTTCGTCGTCTGAATTTAGCAATTCTGAGAGAAAAAAGTGTTTAATTATGGTGTTTCCCAAAAAAACTTTAAATTCTCAATCTATATATTAAAAATAATAAAAATGCAGTTGCGGAAAGACGCGAATATATGGAAATTCACGGTGATGTTGACAATAATTGTCCTATACAATCTATAAAGGCATTATTATTTATATATCATGTCACAGGAATAAATTTTAAAAAGAAGAAAAAGGCAAACCATTCCAAAGCTGGATGAAGAATAAGACGTCTGTTTATATTATGGTGGCAAGAGCAAAATACAGAATTCTGTTCTGGAACAAAATTGTAGGGTCTATATTTTATGAAGGTGCATTATCAAGTGATATATACCAAATTTGTAGAAGAGTTTATGCCACTGAATGAAGTTGCCGAAGTTATTGGGCAATAAATATAGAGAAGGGATTATTAGACACGGAAAAAACGAAAAAAGATATGGCTAACTAACAGTCGACTTTACGCTTCGTTTTAAAAATAAAATTTATTTTAGTACGCAAGAAAACATTAACATAATAAAAGAAGTATTTGGAAATAATGTCGTTAACGAAGCCTAAGTATGTTTTATAATCGTATTAATAATTATTGCTATTTTTATATAGTAGATATTAAGTATTCAACAGCTTAAAAATGTATTTCTGCCAAAATGACTTAATAAAGGCGCCAAGTGAATTTTTAATTTTTGGCAATATATATGTAAACATAAGACGGAAGGAAAATTTCAGTTTTAGCCTACAATTTTTGTATTAAACTTTTCTATCTAAAATCTGAAGGAAAAAAGGGGTGGCGGTGAACATTTATTAAGGATCACTCTGTATACAGAAATTGCAAACAGTAAAATATTTTTAAAAAATGAGTTTTATGGTTTGCGAAAAGCCGCGAGATATACGATAACAAATGTCTTTTATTTAATTACAACCCTGTATCATAAAAACCCTGGACAAAAATGTAAAATGGCAAAGTACATGAAGTATTCAGACGAAATTAGTATAATTTAGAAAGATAGTTACCTTAGTGAAGTAAGAGACTCGGTGGAGTTTCAAATAAAACACTGTATTCATTAATTTTACACAGAAGCTTCCACAATACTTTTTACAAATCTTCTAGATTCCATGCTGACGTTTCAACAATTATCCTATTGCTTCTTCGGAGCTTCAACGGCCTCAAACAGTATACAAGCAGGCACAGAGTAGAGTGCAAACCAGTCTTAGTTAAGCTTTGAAGAAGCGAACAAGGGGATAAGTCAAGAAGATTTGTTAATTGTATTACATTTATTATATGTTCACATTCATTTTGACGTTCATTCGTTGCCTATTTTATTTTCAATGAGACGCCTTATATAGTATCACAAATATATACGACGCAGATTAAGATGAGGTAAAATAATTGAAAAATTGACAACTACACCGTGACTGAGAAGTGAAAATAGAGCTTCGATCAGTAACATAAGGACACACACACCATATTTTATTGCATTTTTAGATTCACTGTTTCTGGTGATTATATTATTCTGCCCTATACCTGGACAAGTCTAATATACTATACTCGTTTAAAATGAATGGTTAAAACTTTATTTTTGTAGATTATTCAAAATTTTAGACGATTAATAAATTTTCTTTATAATTTTCTGTATTTATATTTGTATTAGCCACTCACTCCTTTTAATATTTTCTTAAAAAATGACGCAAAATAATTACTTCCCTTTAAGAATTTTAGATAACATACAAAAACAAGTTTTGAGCATTTTTGTATATTACATCAGAATTTTAAACAGCAGCAGAAGAAGAGAAAAAAAAAGAAAATAAGTATAAATAAAAAAAGTATAAATAATCAGAAGAAAGTAGTGAAACAAAAAATGTAACAAAATATTTCACATAACCATGTTGTGCCATATGCCATTGATAGAAGGGGCAACGCTGAGTCGTAAACATTTCAGTTGGATGGAGCGGATTCGATAATTTGGATTCAAGCTTAAAAAAAACTTTTTATTCCTCTGTAAACGTCTGGTCAACAGTAGATGGATAAAGGGACTTCCAGGGACCCCATAATCTCACTTTTTGGCCTCCCGGCCACGGGCCCCCCGCCCACAGGACTTCTTCTTTTTGGCCACTCGCCCATGGGCCTTCATCTTTTGTGTTCTGCCCGCTCGTCCATTGGCCGCTCACCCTAACCTAACCAAACCGTCGTCCGTGGTACCAACCTAACCAAACTGTCGTCCGTGGTTCCAACCAAACCATTGTCCGTGGTTCCAACCAAACCGTTGTCCGTGGTGCGTAGTTCGCCCGCGGGGGCCCCCGGGGGCGTAGCCTCCGCTGGTAGAGTCCCCGCGGGGGGGCTGCCGCTGGTAGAGTGTCCGCCCCCCCCCGCGCCATCTCGGTGGGGCTGCCATGAAAACCCGTCCTAATTCAAAGTGTTTTTCGGAATAGCAACATCAATCCCATAGTTTTTTTTAATTTTTAAAATATTGTCGATGTTGATGTAAAAAAAAAAACTCTTTAGTGTTTTTTTTATTTAGACATATACATATACATTTTTTTTACATTAGAATAAAAAAAAAGACCAACATAAGCCTAATTTTTTTACAAATATTTTTTATTATTAGGTCGCAATGAATCGCCATTAAATTATTATATATTCTGGTGTGATCGTCGTTTTTTCTGAGGGGATTCTAAAAAGGCTATCATAAGCCTAATTTTTTACAAATATTTTTATCATTATTAGGTCGCAATGAATATGTTAAAACAAATCAATTATCGCCATTAAATTATTATATATTCTGGTGTGATCATCGTTTTCTTCGGGTTCTAATTCAAAGTGTATTTCGGAATAGCAACTTTCACACCAACTCCTCTGACTCTGGTATACCATATATATTAATGCAGAGGCTTCGACTGTAGGTATGTGCCGATAATCGCAAAAATCAAATTTGTCAAATTTGATTTGTGATTTTTTTTCAAAAATTATAAAAGCGTCTTTGCAAGATTCACAAACCATCAACAGAAATGTTCGGGTCATCACTATATAGTGTTTTTCCCATAAATAATAGCTATAATGCTCAAAAGGATGGTCTGTATACCTTGGCCATACTAAAATGGCGGACAAGTAGAATTAATTAAAAAGGGTGTTACACCATGTTACGAATGTCTACCAAAACCTCCGCAAAAAACTTATCCAGGGTGTACTATTCGTAACACCCCTTCTGAGCCTGTTCATTGCATTGTTTGGGCCAAGCACTTGTAAATGACGTCACAAATTTCACGTTAGAATTAAAATATGTCATATTGCTAATTTCACGAATTAGGCAATTATGTGATATTATGTATGATATTATTAGGCAATTACATGCGATGAAATATTAGAAAATTATTGTAGTTTTTTGGTAATTTCGTTAAGATGTTTAACATCATTATGCAAAAATATATCGAAAAATATATTTAAAAATAATCTGTACTTATCCGCATTATTATTGTTTCTTTTACTTTTTCCTTAATTATAATACTTTAGGAAGGGAAGTAATTTATGTAGTAATGAATATTTTTAATATCACATGTGATATTCACTTGAATTATTTTTTTTTAAATAAACGATATTTTATTCTTTATAGTTTTCTTTTATTTCATTTCTTGTCGTCACTTTATTTTCTTAAAAGAAATAAAGAGGAATCTGTAAACAATACCGAATTTGTTTGACAGATTGTGTAGACTTATGTTTTACATTTCTTGTGTTAAACTGGAAAAACTTAATATGTTACATAAAACGAATATAAAAAACTTACTTGTTAAATTGAAATTTATGTCTAAATGAAGTATTTTCTTGGATGACTCGACGAATACTTACAAAGTTTCAATGATCGTTTATTTAATAATTTTTTTTTTTTCATAATTGATGAATGATATTCTTCATAACTAAGTTGTCGGTAGTGATTTATTGTCCACCTAGAAATATATAATAATTTTTAAATTTTCATTGAGAGAAATAAATGGAAAATTTTACATTCAAAAAGAAATATTAGGAAATTAAAATTTAAAAAACTTGAATAATTTAAAAAATACATAAATACATATTAAGAATAATAATATAAATATTAAAAGAAAATTAAGATTAATTATCATGTTTTCATTCATTCATTTAAATATATATATTTTTTAATTATTTCTTTTTATTTAGATGATATAAGCCTTTGTAAAATAGTGATGGTAATTTTTTGAATGAAATTATCAGTTGGTCCATGTTCAATAACTGATTAGAGGCATTCTTTTTATGGAAATTGTTAATGATGGTTTGTTTTTTATCTGCAGGATTATAACATGAAAAAAATTTACCGTCAAAAAAGTAAATAAAATATTTAAATTTATCATGCAATTTTAGTAAATAAATTGAAAATCGTCTATTTGAAATACTTACACATATATATGATTCATTTAAATGTTGACAAAAACAATAAAACTTGAATGGTGTAAATAATTTTAAAAGATTATATGAAACGTTAACTTTATACCAAATATCAATTACGACTTATAATTTGAACATGATAAAACTTTACCTGTGTTTATATCCATTTATCCGAATAATATTTTACTTGGATAATTTTCTTTCCAAATTGGCAATGATGGTTTTTATTTAAATTTCTTATGATAATTTCTCTAGAAGTTATCAGAAGTCGTTTTATTGATAACTCATTGATGATAATTTTTGCTGTTAAACTACCCTCTTCTAAGCGGTTCTTCAATGGTCTAATTTGTTACCTGGGACGTCAGCTTTTTTTTAGGGGGTAGTGAAACATCTAGTTCTTGTATCAATCCTCTTTCTGCAATTTTTTTGAATCCTGTAACCATAGGAAACAAAACGATTATGAATTAGAGGTTATGAAAAAATAATATGGCATAAAAATTAAAAATGTTATATTAAATACCTTTAATTTAAAAATTCGTCGACATGTACCCATTTTGACATTTTCTACATTTAACTGTGTTCGCGTTTACCATAGTTTGAAACTTGGATGGGCATTGTAAAACCGCATCAAATAATCCTACAACTGTTGATGACGTCATAAATTTAAAATTGTCATTATTAATATTAGAATTAAGATAATGTATTATTATTGTTGAGTACATATTTGTTTTTCAGCTTGAAAATATAGGATACTATGTAAAATAATTATTGATTTTTAATTTGATATATTTTATAAAATAAATATTAAAGACTTACTTGTTAAATTAAAATTTCTTTATCCAAATAATGTATTTAATTTAATAAAATAATGTATTGTATCAATTATTTGTCGCAAATTCTCAAAATCAATAATCATCACAAATGAAATAAAAAAATAAATTAGAGGTTAAAATAAATCACATAAAATTTAAAGATTCTATATTAAATACCTGTTATCTGTAAGGTGTATTTGTTTCTCTGCGAAATAACTCCCTGCGATGTATTCTTGATGGCATCAACGATAATATTTTAAAAATTTCATAAATTACACAATTATATACGACGAAATATTACAAAAATATTGTATCTTCATTTACATTTAATGAAAACTATTTTAGCCAAAATGAAAAGATTCTTTATGATAAAACATCTGATTTTTGTATTGCATTAATTATTTTTCCACAAATTCTTAAATCCTGCAACCATCGGAGACAAAACAATAATAAATTAAAGATTCTGGAAATTATTATCACATAAAAATTTTAGAGGTTATGAAAAATAATATCGCATAAAAATTAAAAATGTTATATTAAATACCTTTAATTTGTAAAATGTATTTGTTTCTCTTGGAAATAAATCCCAGTGAGGCATTTTTTCACGCAATTGACGACGACATGCCATAATTTAAAAATTCGTCGACATGTACCCATTTTGACATTTTCTACGTTTAACTGTGTTCGCGTTTACCATAGTTTGAAACTCGGTTGGTCATTGTACAAATTTTGGGATTTCTCCGTAGACGAATAGTTCTCCTCTTTTATTTTCATCGGTACAGTATTTTATGCAGCTTTCGGGATCATTTGCGAATTGGATGTTTGCATTATTGAAAAGTTTTTGTGTGGCGTTTAATTGTCGTGGGTTTTTAAATCCGAATGTTAATTGTATGTGGAACATTCCTAGCCTATCTGTTTCTTGTTGGCCGATGTACCATGCCACTTGGCCTTGCATTGCTTCTAATTTTTCTTTCATATCTTCACCGTTTATAAAACAGGTGAACACGCGTTTTTTGGTCGTCATTTTAGTAGTAGTGGCGGGTATCGTATCTTACACTATGCACTGTGGGTTGAACGCACTTTGGGCACACTTCTAGTAGTTGTTTTTTTCCAATCCAGTATGGTGTTAGTTGATGTTTGAATTTACGCGCGTAATTGCACTTTGAGCACACGATTTTTTTGGTGTATACGAAATAATTTCTCGTCGGTGTCGCGTTCATTATTAAACTGAAATATTATTGTTTTATTAATAGCATTATCAACGGATATTCTTATCTCTTTCCTGTTTCCTGACCCCCCGCAAATTGTCATTCTTAATATTAGAATTAAGATTATGTAATATTATTATTGATTGGATAAATGAAGTAATTATATACAAAGGCATTACAATTTTTGTTGATTTCATCATGATGTTTAGGTATTGTTATTGGAAAATATATTTGAAAGTAATTTGTAATCTTTTACATTATTTTCTTAAAAAAGGAATCTGTAATTTCGAAATTGCTTGATAGATGGTGTAGATTTACGCTTTGTATATATTTGTTTTTCAGCTTGAAAATATAGGATAATATGTAAAATAATTATTGCATTTAATTTGATATATTTTCTATTAAAATTTCTTTATTATTTATTTATAATGTAATAATTGTATCAATTATTTGTCTCAAATTCTATAATCATCACAAATGAAATAAAAATAAATTAGAGGTTATAAAAAATAAAATCACATAAAATTTAAAGATTCTATCAATGATGATATTTTAAAAATTTCATAAATTACACGATTATATACGACCAAATATTAGAAAAATATTGTATCTTCATTTACATTTAATGAAAACAATTTTAGTCAAAATGAAAATATTTCTTTATGATAAAACATCTGGTTTTTGTATTGCATTAATTATTTTTCCACAAATTCTTAAATCCTGCAACCATCGGAGACAAAACAATAATAAATTAGGGATTATGGAAATTATTATCACATAAAAATTAAGATTGTTATATTAAATACCTTTTATTTGTAAAATGTATGTTTCTTTATGAAATAAATTCCAGTAATACGTTCTTTATGCGATCATCAACGATATTTTTAGAATCTTGAAATTTATAGACATGTATGTTTTCTTACCATCATTTGACTGTAGTTGGGTCTATCATAATTTCTAATACTTTGGATGGTGATTTAAAGTAAAAATAACTAAATTTCATTACATTAGATAACAATTTTTAATTAATATAACTTTATGAGACACATTTATTTATCTTTGATTCAAACCATCTCAGTTGAAATGTAACGATTTTTCATGATGATAGTTCCTTGTTTGTATTAATTTTGGAGTTTCATATTTACTGAAAATAAAAAAACAATAAATTAAAAGACCTGAAAAACAAAAGTATATTCAAAGTTATTATTTTATGAAATTCATTTTAAAATGTATCTTTAATAACTAATCAATGGTAATCCTTATATATTCATTGATAAATTAAAACAATGTTCAATTTTCTTTCTTTCATTATTATAAATTACTAACAATTAAATTTCAGTCAAATAATAATCTTAATATGGCAATCAATAATAATTATTTTCATCAGCAAAAATGTATAATTGAAATTTTCCAGTAAATGAAATTTAAAATTGTAAAACTCTACTAAACATAAAAATTCAATCTAAAAATGATAAATATTTTTAAACATGATTTAATCATTCACCTGATATTTCCTTAATATAAAAGTAACTACAATTCTATCAATGAAACAGTAATTTTCAGTCTACAAAATTTATAAATTATCTTTACCCATATCCGATTGCATAAAAAGGGGGAAAGCCTCGTATTTTCTGCTTACCGAGTGCTTTGGTTTAACATGAGCAAGATTGGGA